TGGATTTTATACGAATTATTAAAATTTAATTGGCGAAAATTGCAACATCGAAAATTTTATCAAAACTTCAAATATTGTTTTTTCAAAAACTAAAAGTTATTTTTCAAAACGGGTTGGTTCATTGGAAAGAAGACACTTTTATTAACACTTTGAGAAATTTTCATACTCATATTCCAAAAAATGGATTTTATACGAATTTTTAAAACTTAATCGGCAAAATTCGAAAAAAATTGTCGATTATTTAAAAATTTATTTCTCAAGAACTAAAAGTGATTTTTCAAAACGGCTTATTGCATTAAAAAGAGGATACATTAATTAATAATTGGTGATATTTCCACAAGGATCTTTCAAGAAATTAATGTAATGTAGTCAGAAACATAACAATGGCTTTCACTGGATTTGAAATGACGAAGATTTTGTGCTTTTGCACTACTTTTTTAATCATTTTATACATTTTTTTAAATATTCATTTCGTTATTTGGTTACTCTCTCAAATCCAAGGAACAGTTTGTCTTATTTAACTCCAAACTTGGCCAATTTTTTACTTATAAAAATCAATTTTGTGGCGTTTCATAAAACTGTATGAACGAATTTTTCAAATCTGATAATAATAAAATAATTAATTAATTATTGTACCTGACGTCATCATTGCAAGATGCAACCAATATCACAGTATTGATATTGCAATAGGCGATTTGCGTATTTGGTTGCATACTTGTGATGACGTCAGATATGATAATTAATTAACACAATGTATATCTAAAGGAATTTAGATAGAATTTAGTTGCCTTTATTCCTAATTCACATATAAAAGAAATAATAGATTTAACATTCACTTACCTGCTAATATTTTTTTTAGAAATATTAAAAGTTTCTTCATAAAGTGTCATTTCCTGCCTAGTAAAAGTTTGTCCTTGTTGACTACCAACTATATATTTAAATGTTTCATTATCAATAAAAAATGTATTCTCATTAGTAACAGGATTAAAGTTTCTATTAATCTTTTGAATATCAGCAAAGAGTTTTCTCAGACAAGCATCAGTGTCTGCACACTTAAAATTTCTCATGCGTCCATGTGTATAAAGAAAAACAGTATTCTTTATAATGTTTTTATCTAATTGTTCAAAAATCTGTTTAAGGCAAACTTCAAATTCAGGTGTGAGTCGTGTAACATCTGGTTTAAGTAAAATACAAATTCCATCTATTGAAGGCAATTCAGAAATTAAACTTAAAGTCATTTCACTATTCATGGTATCATAATCTAGTCCTCGAGTATCCCCAACACCCGGTGTATCAATAACCTCCAAGATAATCCCATGTTCCTCATCATTAAAGGTATATATAAAAGGTTTTTGAGTGGCTGATTGTCCTGTTCCGGGTATCTCAAATTCACTTTTACCCACTTCAATAGTTTCCATAGAATTATCGTCCTTATATAAATTAAATTTGGTTGGCACAAGCACATTACATCTCCCTTTTGCGATTTGATGCACGGATTTTTCAGAAAAATAGTTACCAAACATGTTTACAAGCGTTGATTTTCCAACACCCGTTTGTCCCAGTAACAGTATTCTTACTCTTCTTGATGCCATTTTCGACTTATTCATTTTAGAAGGCACAAAACTAAGCCACTGAAATGCTGGAGTAACGAACAACACCTAAATACTCCAATCTGAAACTTATAAATGAATCACAAATGAACTTGATACTGATAAGAAACCATGTAAATAACCTTGTAATGAATTATGCCGACGACGTTTATTGTTTCATCAACGAATTAAAATGGGAAAGTACCGAAAAAATCCTAAATAAAATGACATGAGTACGTTCTTAATGTTCTCCTATATACAATGAACGACAAAAATAAACGTAACTAAACTAAATTTAATGATTAACATGAAGCCTATATAATGTCAACTTATTTGCTGTTAAAATAAAGTTTCGATATTACGCCTTTTTGCAAAATTACTTTATAAACACAATTTTGAGTACGTTCATGTATTATTATTTTATCGTGGAGGTCTCATACAGTGTGTTAATTAATTATTGTACCCGACGTTATCATCGAAAGTATGCAACCAATATCGCAGATAGTATTGTAACTAAAAACGATGCCAAAATTATTGACTTTAAAGCTGTTTAAAATAGATTTAGATATATTTTAATAATTAAAAAAATAATTTAAATAGAAAAAGGAAAAGTTAGACTTTTATTTAATATAATTTTTAGTGTATAAATTGAAATTAATGTTGAAAGAAGTGGTTATTTATAAGCACGAAAGCTTTCACGGTCGGTGTTAATTGAACTAAAATTAGAACTAACACTAGAAACTTTCGGGGTTTGCAGTGCGTCTTTAAAGCCTCTTGAGAATAATCCCAAATCTAGTACGGATTTAGAGAGGGACACTCCACGGTTCACCAACTGGCAAGAGCTAATGTTTGCGGATGACATGTTAATAATGGGACAAAACGACATCCTTATTGATGCTATTGAAACACTTCAAAGGTCAGTGGACAAAATCCAGAAATGGTTATCAAAATGGACCATTCTGCTCAATGCCAGACCAAGATTTTTTCGCTAAGACTTTAACGAAATGGTCGTTACATTATTATAAACGATCGTAATTCGTACATTTGAAGACGAGTTTTAAATTCTTTTTGTAATTCGCGACGGTAATGAAAGCTATAACAGTACTCAAACGGGTGCTGTAATGAGACTCCATACAGCATCCGATGCTGTAATGAGATTTTAGTAACATTTTATGGAACCAGTTCAAGTTGGTGACATTGGATCATTAATTTTTCTAGTTGTCAATGTGACAATGTTTGTCTATGGATGTTTAAACACGTTCTTAGCATCGAATACAAGGTCAATGATGAGGAAATTGAACTCTTAGCAATTTCTCTTATTTTGGGAGGTGTACATGAAAATTAGGCGAGGCAATAGTTTTGCATTCAACTTTTATTGTTTTTCTGGTTTGTAAGTAATGACTAGAAAAGTTTAAAGCCGAGGTCGCGTGCGGCTGAGGCAGTAGATTAAGTATGCGACATTTCAATTTTTCTGCTTTATCAATGACGAACAAAGTTTGAGGCCGAGGTCGCTTGCGGCTGAGGCACTTGTTTTATATACAGTTTTAAAGGTTTTTCTGGTTCATAAGTTTAAAGCCGAGGCAAAAGTTTTGTATTCAACTTTTTCCTGTTTCGTAAGTGATGACCAGAAAAGTTTTAAGCCGAGGTCGCTTGCGGCCGAGGCGCTTGTTTTATATACAACTCTTAAATGTTTGTCTAGTTTACAAGTGATGATTAGAAAAGTTTTAAGCCGAGGTTGCTTGCAGCCGAGGCGCTCGGTTTGGTACATACAGGGGTGAGTTGTTAGTATCACATGAACTCTGAAATTACTGTTCAGAGCAAACAAAAAATTGATTATAAACCAAACATGATTTTTCATGGCAATACTTATGTGTTCAATAAAAGAATGTGAAGAATATGAACAAGAAACCAATAGACTTGTCTTGTTATTGCACAGGACAGGAAATCACCAATACGGAAACTTTGCCAATGCAGGATAAGCACAAAAGCAAAGGAACAGCTGCAGAAATGAGGTACCGGGTGGTACAAGATCCGTATAGATAATAAGAGGCTCCCAAAAAGATGATGATAGACACCCAGAAAGAAGTAGCTGTCAGTATCAAGAACAAAACATACATAACGTTGGCAGAAGACTAGATACTGCTTCTAAAAAACTAAATACTGCTTTCTGAAGACTAGATACTGCTCTGGAAGATTAAATACTGCTTTCTGAAGACTAGATACTGCCGACAGGTCTAAATACAGCATCTGGAACACTAAATACTGCTTTCTAAAGACTAAAATTGCTTTGTGGAGACTAAATACTGCTTTCTGAAGACTAGATACTGCTGACAGGTCTAAGTACTGCAAAAGAAAGATAAGATATTGTTGGAGAAAACATACATAACGTTGGCAGAAGACTAGATACTGCTTCTAGAAGACTAAATACTGCTTTCTGAAGACTAGATACTTCCGACAGGTCTAAATACAGCGTCTGGAACACTAAATACTGCCTTCTAAAGACTAAAATTGCTTTGTAGAGACTAAATACTGGTTTCTGAAGACTAGCTACTGCTGACAGGTCTAAATACTGCAAAAGAAAGATAAGATATTGTTGGAGAAAATATTAAAAAGGCGCCGGCGCCCCCTTTTAGGTGGCGTCCGGGTGTAGTGCACCCCTTGCACCCCCCGGTCGCGCCGCCTCTGTCCAAAAGTACTTGGTACATTTGGTAAATTTGAAATGTGAATTGATCTAAACAAAATCTTTTGTTAATAAAATTTTCAACTGTATAGCTGTCAAACTTTTCAATACGCAGCGCCAACTTGATTTTTTTAAATAGGACCACTAGTCAAAATTGATATCATTCGAAAGCTTATTTTATTCTGCATTTGAGAGTGTAATTACTTTTTGAAGAAAGCTATAACGGTACTCAAACGGGTGCTGTAATGAGACTCCTTACAGCATCCGATGCTGTAATGAGATTTTAGTAACATTTTATGGAACCAGTTCAAGTTGGTGACATTGGATCATTAATTTTTCTAGTTGTTAATGTGACAAATGGATGTTTAAAAACGTTCTTAGCATCGAAAAGAATGTCCACAATGATGAGGACTTTGAACTTTGAGCAATTTCTCTTATTTTGGGAGGTCTACATAAAATATTTTTGTCAGGTGAATACATTTTGTGTTTTGACAATTTCTAATTATCACTCCAAATTTCTATTTTCAAGTGTTACGGTACATACCTACATTGCTACATACCTATTTCCCTACATTGTCAAAATTTATTTTATTTTTGAGAAAAAAAAAGATTGAAAACGCGAATTACAAAAAATAGCATAACAAACACTGTTCATACAAACACTTTTCATAAGACTTAAAGCTAATTAAGTGATAATTTTGGGGTTTCTTGAACGGAATTTAATGCTATTACAGAAGCAGCGTCTTCCTCATTTAATCTCTTTTTTTGCTTCTTTATGGATTCTATGGTTACATATCATAAATAGAACTTGAACAATTTTCAATTTAGAAAAAAGTCCAATTTTTACATAAAAATGGGAATAATTAGTTAACTTCTATAGTTAGAGTATAAAATTTGTGCGATTTATTGGTTTTAACATATCCAACGCATTATTTATGCTGAGATAAGTTTGAAAAATCAGTAATAAAAATGTTTATCTACAACTATTGAATTATCTATTCGTTATACATTTGATTTTTGACGGGTAATGACACGCATTACTCATGACTGACAAAGTGTTGAATAATGAAGCCATTATTCCACAGTTCTGACACGGCCTACTTATCAAATAAATAAAATATTAACAGAAATGACAGCTTTCTTATATTGAGGTTATGTCTGAAATGTCTATCAAGTTTTTTTTTTCTTTTTTTGATTTTTTTTTCAAAATTAATTAATGAGTTATAAAAGAAAATTGTTGAAAACGTCAACATTTTTATTTTTCTTGGGTTGGGTTGGTACTGCTGATCGTTGGATTAAAATAACTTATTGGATGTGTTTTATGGATTAATTCTAAACCTTTTTTGTAAGAAATGTTTTTCTCCAACGGTTATAATTATTGAGTTATACAAGAGAATTGTTGAAAACGTCAAAATTTCTATTTTTTTATGTTATGTTGGTGACACTGATTGATGCAATAAATATCTTTTTGCAATACGTTTCATGAGTTAATTATAAACGTTTTTTGTTTAAAAAGTAATTCTCCATCATTCATAATTTGTTAAATTATAACCGCAAACTGTCAAAAATATTAAAATTTGGTTTTAATTTTGGGTTGGGTTGGTTCTACTGACCGATGGATTAAAATAACTTATTGGGTATGTTTTATGGATTAATTCTAAACCTTTTTTGTAAGAAATGTTTTTCTCCAACGGTTATAATTATTGAGTTATATAGGAAAATTGTTGAAAACGTGAAAACTTCTATTTTTCTTGGGTTGGGTTGGTACTACTGATCGATAGATTAAAATAACTTATCGGATATGTTTTATGGGTTCATTGAAAATATCGTAAAACCAGCAAGTGCAATTATCTTGGTTATTACTATAGGTGGAGTATTATAACTAACAAGAAGACATTATGGATACTTTTTTACAGAAAATTTGATGACGTAGTCAAAAAAATTTTTCAAGTTAGTCAAAAAATTGAGATATTGTGACAATTTTCGTTTTTTAAATGGAAACAACCACTGATTATTCGCTTATTAAATTCGTTATTTTTTTCTGATTACAAAAATATGGGGTTAGATAGGTTTATTTCTTATTGTTTCAGAATAAATCTAAAAATAAACTTTTTTTATAAAATTTCTAAACGCCGCCGAAATCTAGTGTCGTTGAAGAAATGAAATTTACAGGTTCCTGTAAATTACGGGGTATTATTTTTCTGGTATTTAAAAACAAATAATTATGTTTTTCCTCTTTGTAACTTGATCCGGGGACATACTGTATGTAATCATTTTTTTTTGTATCAACACAACCATGAAAAACATTGTCATTGTTGAACTGGTTTTGAAATAAATGAAAAAAAAAGGGGCCTAAGTTTGCTAAGACTATAAGTGAGCAAAATATCCGAATACAATTTTTAAACACCTGGTATAAAGAAACTCTTTTAATAAGCGCCATCTCTAGGGAGTTTAACTCTATATTAAAATTGATCACAATTTATAACGGGTACAATTTTAAACTTAAGATCCTAAGCTTTCTGGTATAACTTAAAATTATCATTAAATAATACATAATAGAACAGAAAATACTATTTAACCGTAGTATAAAGTTAAAATAAGGCTTGTTTATATAAAGAAAACTTTTTAGTAAACGCCATCTTGCGCCATCTATAGGATCTTCTCAATGACTAAAATTGATTATAATTTTTTAGGTTATATCGTTTTAAACCTAAATTAAACTTAAATTTGAAGTTCACATAGGTTTAACTTTCTCCGGCGAGATTTAAAGTAAAGGTAGTTGTTCGTACTACGGAATAAAAAGATTAATTGTGAAAATGGATACAGAACCAAAAGAAGTGGTCCCACCATCAACAGATTCTGGCTCTAAAAAAACCGTATTAAAAGAAACCCCTTCAGTAAATGCAAATAAAAATGCACTGGCAAAACAGCCAATAACGGAACAAACGAATCTCCTTAAAGAATATTTTAACAGCGTCGCAAATCGTGAAGTTTTACATTTAAATGTAAAATCTGTAACCCCGGTCCTTTCAGTCAATTTAGGGATTGATTTGAAAATGGTTTCAACTCGCATGAAGTATGTGTTAGCAGAGGCATTATGTTATTTTATGAAAGTTTGGCCTGGATGGTCCACTACAGATTACAAGAATCCGTTATTAAAAGATGACTGTTTTTCCAAATATCAAGATTATTTGCGATCAAAATTAATGTATATCATTGATAATGAAAGCCAATTTCGTAAGGATGGTGACTTTCAAAGAGGGGAAACGGTTTCTGTGGAATGTCAAACAGATATACCATCAAAAACTAATAAAGCAGAAGCTCCTTTTAATTTGGTTATAACTGGACAACCAAGTGTTTTGAATAATATTGTTTTTATTGAAGTAGAAAGTAAGAATTAATTATTTATTTTTATTTCCTAAAAAATTCTATAATTTTTTGTGTGTGGAGGTTTTCTGTTATTATTTTATTATGAAATCATTACACCATTCCCTCCTTTAACTATTTATTTCTAAATTATTACAAACGACGTTTTGGGACTATTCCCATCATCAGGTTTAATAATTTTTGTCATCTAAAGAAACAACAATTCAATGATTTATGTAGCTATAATTATTTTACAATGAAAACATTTATTATACCTAAACCACAATATTTAGAATATGACTCTTACCAAAAGCTTTTTTCAATTTTATCATTGATTGTCTTTTAATTTCTACCCATCTCATCACGCCTAAACATCACGTCTTTTTGAAAATTTCTCAACAAGTTCAAATTTGAGTTTTATTCTTTGTTCCCTCGCTCTATTATACAGGGTGTTTCAGGTTTTTGTAGCAGGACTTTAACAGTCGATAGATCTTTTAAAATTAGCACAAAAACTTCATATAAACATAGGTCGAGAAACGCTTTGTTTTGAAGATACAGGGTGTTTGAGTTAAATTTTTTAATTGATTTTTATTTAATATTACACGTGTATTTCAACCGATTATATTCAAATTTGGTATACGGAGGTTTTTTGGCATGATAAAGATGATTCTGGAGTGCGTTTTACTATAGCCGGTAGAGGGCGCTCTGTAACGTATTCTTTACGGATTAAAATAACAATAACTTTTCTGACAGTATACTTTATGGCTTTTTGAATAAAAATTCTTATTGTCGGTACTTTTTTAAGCAAAAATGGTACTCTTATCAAAATGTGCTAAAGTTGATCGATTTCAAGATAATCCGCTTTTTATTATTCGATACAGACCAATTTTTTTTTAGGATTGTTAAAGATAGGTATAATAATGTTTGCCATTGAAACAAAGTAGGTAAATTCACTAATGTTTTAGTTTATTGTACCAAGTGTCAAATCAGCAGTAGTTGTTGATCGGTGTTAAATTAATTTTTCTTATTCGTTAACGTGTTAAATTCAATTTTCTTGCTAAATGTATTACTCTTTTTCCTAATCGTGTTAAATTGTTTTATTTTTACCATTTTTTAATTTTTTGTTTGCTGCATAAAAACTTTATAAAATGCCGTTTATTTTTCCTAACCATGAGTTCGCGGATATTCATTTTGTTTATGGGTTTGCAAACGGAAATTCAGCAGAAGTAGCCCTAGAGTATAGGAAAAGATATCCAAATAGAAGACATCCGCATTCTTCTGTGTTTGTGAAAGTGCATAGACAAATAGTTGAACAAGGGCTAAATAATGACGGGTAGATCGTAATAATGACAATGTTACACTGCAAAGAAACTCTAGAAGAAGAATTTTGCGTGAGTTCGAACGCCTTACGAATTTCTAAGGCGCGTGTTTATCGCCTTTTAAAACATGATCATAGACATGCTTATCATTTACAACCCTTGCAAGGATTGCAACTAGGCGATGAAGAACGGCGTGTAACGTTTTGTCGGTGGATTGCTAAAGCATCAACAAACGAGACTTTTTAAATAACAATTTACATGTTTTGCTATCCCAACGCAATTCGGCCACGAAACTTCCAACATGAATTTAGTGTCACCGTCTGGGTCGGTGTTTATAATAATCATGTTTTCGTGTCATACCTTTTGCCACCACAACTAACCGCTGCGGCATTCTTGTAATTTTTAATAGCTGAACATGTCAATATGTGGGATGACATTGATTTAGCTTTAAGAAGAAAGGCCTGGTTTCAACTTGATGATTGTGCAGCTTATCATGATAGGGTGATAAGAAATTGGATACATAACCATTTTCTTGAAAGATAGATTGGTCGTGGTGGACCAGTGGCATGGCTCCACAATATGCAGATCTTAATGCTTTAGACTTTTTGTGTGGAGATATTTGAAAGGAAAATTGTATGAGACACCTGTTTCCACAAGAGATGAAGTTTTAATAGGATTAGGAATGCTTGTAATGACATAAGGCCGTTATTACCGTTACTCGATCAGTAATTCGTCGGTCAGAATTATGCAAGCAAAATTTTTTAAATTTTCAACAATTTTTTTTTTATTCTTTAGATTAAAAAACATTAATAAACTAAAACATTAGTTAATTTACCTACTTTCTTTTCAGGGCACACATTATTTTAACTATCTTTAACTATCCTCTAAAAACATTGGTCTGTATCGAACAATAAAAAGTGGATTATCTTGAAAACGATAAACTTTAACGCATTTTGATAGGAGTACCCTTTTTGCTTAAAAAGTACAGAGAATAAGAATTTTTATTAAAAAAAAAAAGCGCCCTCTACCGGCTATATTAAAACGGATTAAATAATCGTCTTTCTTGTGCCAAAAAACCTTCCTATACCAAATTTGAAAAGAATCGGTTGAAATGCACGTGTAATATTAAATAAAAATGAACTTAAAAATTTAATTTGAACACCTGTATCTCCAAATCAAAGCGTTTGTCGACCTATGTTTATATGAAGTTTTTGTGTTAATTTTAAAAGATCTATTGACTGTTAAAGTCCTGCTACAAAAACCTGAAATAGCCTGTATAACCAATTTGTTTTAACTATCTGCATAATACGCCCCTATTCGTCCTACGTCAGTTTTTGCGTTATTAATGTTTTTTGTTATGAAAATTGATTCCAAGTTTTTTCTTATTAGTGTGTTTTTATTTGTTGTTAATATTTTGGGATTTTCAAAATCAAATTTGTGAGTTAAAGTTACCGAATGTTGGCATAAAGCCGTTTTGTTTTGCGTTTTTATTTGTTTAGTATCGCATTTATGTTGTTGTATACGTTTTTTGAGATGTTGTTTAGATTCCTCTATCTAAATTTCTAGTATCTACTCTGTCTAATGTTTTGATTTTATCCTTCATATTTGATATTAAGGTGCCAATTTTGTTGTTATTATATTTAGCAAATTTTATTTTTGATATTTCATATCTCTTAAAAACATTCGTTAACATTCTGCCCTGTATTAGTTTGTCTAGGTATGAATTGTGTAATTAGGGATTGTCTAATAGTTGGTTTATTCTTTTTATTTATATCTCCTTGTGGGGTTATATTATTTGTTTTGACTTTCAATCCATCTACAGTGTGTCCCAGGATAGATGTTACAAGAGGTATAATGACTTAAAAATTTTTGAATTTTATTTTAAAGCTGAGGAATTAAGCCCTGCTTGATGTGGAGAGAATTTTAAGTATATTTTCATATTTTGAAAATCAACTCGGTCTTGATAGGGAAGCGAAAACTATTTTTAGTTCAGGTAAAGTAAGCTTTTTGTTCAAGATACGCAAAATATCATTAAGAAAAGTTGTTCAGAGTGAGAAATTATGGCACTAGGCAAAATTTCAGAAAGATCTACCTACATTGATTAAACCACCATATTTTCGATTAGATCAGAGTGAAGAAAACAAAAACAATGAAAACTGCCATGAAAAAAATATTGACAAATAAATTGTATTATCCCTCAGTTTTAGTTCATATTTCAATTACTAACAATATTTATGTTATTTAAACTAAAATGTAATGGTTCAACCAAAGTAGATAGATCCTTCTGAAATTTTGTATAGGACCATAATTTATCATTTTGAAAAACTTTTCTTAATAACATTTTTCCGTATCATGAACAAAAAGATTACTTTACCTAAACTAAAAATAGTTTTCGATTTAGTATAATCTTGAAATTCTTTTCACACTAAGCGGGGCTTAATTCCTTACCCTTAAAATAAAATTCAAAAATTTTAAGTCATTATACCTCTTGTAACATCTATCCTGGGACACACTGTATATTATTTAGTATTGTAAACCATGAGTTATTAATCAAGTGTGTGGGATAAAAATAAGTCCATACGTAAAACTAAGTCCATACGAACACGTTGAAATGTTTTGTAATTTGGAAAATTTATAAAATGTAAGATCATGGAAATATACACAATTTACCGATAGAATTGATAAATTAATCAATAAGGATACTCGACAAAGTGATTTCTGATGATGAACTATGTAAATAGTTCGAAACGTTAAATGACTTAACAATAAAATAAATACAAAATCAAGAGGAATTTCATGTATTTGGATTTATAATCATTAAATTNGTTGAAGAAGCTTTACAAAATGTCATAGAGGACATGAAACAATTTGGAATCAATGCACAAGAAAATGATTGGAAATATATGCAAGTACCGTTAATAAGACACAAACAAAATAACGAAGTAACACAGGAGAATGAAGACATCGACGAAAACCCCGAAGAAAATGAAATTGACCAAGATGTGGCAAAAACGAATAATATCAGTAATGATGATGATATAGTTATGGACGAGGTTATGGACTTAATTTCTAACGAGAGTTCTAATGAAGATCGCGAATGTGATAAATTAATTCCTTACGCTTAAAATAAAATTCAAAAATTTTAAGTCATTATACCTCTTGTAACAACTATCCTGGGACACACTGTATATTATTTAGTATTGTAAATCATGAGTTATTAATCAAGTGTTTGGGATAAAAATTATTTAACAAAATATCATATATTTTTTGTTTTATTTGTTTCAAAAATGGTTTATCTGTCAATTTTATTGCTCTATACAGGTGTCTCAGCGAGACCGGTCATTAGACGTTTCTGGGGTTCTGGCGAAAATAAAAATTTGAAAATTTAAACTTAAGTATTATCAATTACGATCTCTTCGACTAAAATATTTTCAGACTTCTTGGAACCTACTTTATTTTTTTAAATGGACCTGTATATTTTTACATATTTAGATTTGTCTGGTTTCAAGGTTTATAAATAACTTTCCTTTTTGCAATATGATTCGGCCGTTCTCGAGTTATTCGAATTTTTCTAGAAAAATCTGCTCCAGCAGACATTTGTTCAAAAAATCAGAGAATACTCGATTTTTGGGATATCAATTTAGGATTTAGAACATGCTTAAGCAACATGATGGAGTATGGTTTGGTGCCGAGAACGGCTGTCTAGAACGTTTGGTCACTTTACTATGATACGTTAACTTTTCGAAATTCGGAAGCACCATAACTTCATTTTTTTAAATGGCACCACCCATATTTTATTACTTCGTCGTCTTCGGTGTCTCATTCTACATCTTTTATGACATATGGGATATGTCCCATACCTAACATTAATAGTTTGGGAGATAATTAGGGTTTTTTGAAAAATGCACACATCATATGGATATTTAGCCTAATGTGCCATGAAAAACAAGCCTTTTCAATGAGTTCTTGTCAAAGACTCACTTGTTTACGTCACTTGATGCATGTGAGCTAATGATTATCTGTTAGGTCCCTTAATATTAGTACTAAAAAGAGTTAAAATCGATAACAATAACGAAAGTAATATTTACACAAATCAAGAAATTCTTAATTTATTTTTTATGCATGAAAAGCGCGACAAAATTCGTAGTATGATTCCCAGATCTTCTTTGGCAGCTCGATTTGAGGTGTTGGGACTAGGCTCGAAATAAGCCAAGGTATTCACCTCTTCCGTTGCATTATATACTACATTTTCTGCTCAGTTTAACACGTGATTAATTCGTCCAAAATGCAAAAAATTTGCTTCTATTCTTCTAAATTTATCTTTTGTCATCGGAGGTAAATGTGGATAATTTTCACTAAACATTCTGCAAGTTCTACTAAGAACTTAGTCGCACTTTTCGTACACAAAAAATAAATTATGGATTTCTTCATTTGTATAAACATTATTTACGTTATTAATATCCATTTTAACTGGTTTTAGACTCACAAGCATCAAACAACGTAAATCAGACTTTGACGTTT